GAAAAAATTAAATTGGACACTAGCGGAAAAATTAAATCAAATATTTATGTGTATAATGCGGGGGTCTAGTGACGCACGATCTCATAAATATATTTTTAGGATTTCTTTTTTATATAATTTTATATTTTATAGCCGTGGCCGCTCATTTATGCCAATTAAATTCGTTGCGATTTCTTTTAATAGCTCCATAACATTCATACGCAGTGGAGATCAATCTTAGATCTATTTAGTTCTTTAATTTAACTCTTTAAACGATAATGTTTTAAAGTAAATTAACTTGGACCTCTTCGCCAGAATGTGGATTCTATTTTTAAAGTTACAAAATTGATAATATATATTTATATTCATATATATTTTTAATTCAGTTCAAATATTAATCATACGCAGTAGGGGATAATTTTTCCATTACAAATTAATTGATTTTATAATGATTAACTTTTTTGAAAGTCAGTTTTATTAAACCCAAAAATAATTTTAGACTTAACAATTATTACAGTGCTGTATTTAGGATAATTCAAGGGCCAAAATATAAATCATACGCAGTGGGGTCCCATTCTATTCTTTTCTTCGCCCTTCTACTCACTAATTTAAGTGGCTTACTTATCGAAAATCTGTTTTTTCGCTACCCAAAAGTATTTCCAATTTAAAGAAAATTGTTTCAGAGCTGTTCGCAACATTTTTGAATATTTATTTTTATAAAACTTTGACATTGAATTTGTCATTGCTGCTGGCGGCTGTTTTTGCTCGCATGTCCACACCGCGTATACGTAATATTTTTATAATTCTGTCCGCTCTGTTTTTCTTGTTGTCTTTCTTGTGAGCAGAGAAGAAGAATTATTACAAATCCGAGAGTGAAAATCTTTGAGATCTTCTACAAAAATCCCACGTCGCGCGTTTTTCATCTACTACACTGTTTGTTGTTTGTTTTTCTGTGTCCATATTAGAAGCGAAGCGTTTTCACAATTTGTTGCACATAAGTAGCACAAGCACCAACACACGGATAACTAAAGAACAAAAACACACACACACACAACCACACACACACCAACACAGGAGCACACAAGCAAATAAAAATGTCTAAGGTTTGCCATAAATAAATGAGTCTGTTAGTGCCTGTCATAGTTTGTAGACCATAAGTCTAGTTTGTACGACTATTCAATAAGCTCTCATTCATCCACACAAACAGAAAATAAGAAAACAAAAAAAAAACACCCTTATAGAGGTAAATATTTAGTAGTCGGTTGCACAATTGTGTGCATTCGCTTTTGCTTTTTTATGCGGACTGTCCCCCACAGAAGTCGACGGCTCCGCTGGTTTTATTCATGCTCATTGGATGCAACAATGCCGCCATGTCCACAATTGTAAGCGGCGTCCATTATACTATATGGTATACGCCTCGGCTATATGTTCTGGGTCCTACCTCACAGCATGGGGCCCTACTTGTCGGCTCATCAGTGTTTCATTGTCGCTGTTGTAATTCGCTTTCTTTTTTACGTCCACAAAGCGATCATCCAGCTAAAAGCTACATGTAAAGACATAAAATTGACTTTTAAAACCATATTTTTAATGTGTATTTGTAGTGTTTTGCTGCCTTTGATAAAAGTATTTTTAGTGTCAATTGCCGTTTGAAAAGCTCAGTTTTTAATGGATTACTTATGGTTTTACTTTCGCTTAGAGATTGTACGTCTCTATTTGTGTTTCTATAGATTTTGCCTTTTTTAGTTAGATACCTAGATGTACAAATTAATATAAAAACGAGCAAACGGCCCGTCAATACATTGATCATAATCTTATTGGGGTTTCCTCCGATTTAAATTGGGTGTCTATAAACATTTATTGCCCTTATTTAATCGACATTGGATTGATTAACGAACAATATTACTATTGGCAAACAATACTGAAAAATGTGTATTAAATAAACATTTAAAGCTAATGTAAATATGGGGTATTTTAATTATACTAAATGCTTCCATTTTTAAAATATTTGTATTTCAAATACAAATTTTGTACAATTTAGAAACATTTAATTCCTGCTTGTTTATGGCTCTTTAGGCAACCATACAAGATTATTAAACATAATTGATTTTGTAATAGATGAAAATGGCAGGTAATTAGTCTTCATTACCCAACCTTCACCGCATCTTGCCCCACCCTTCGCACATGGCCCCACCCCGTCCCAGCAATTGTCGTCATCTAATCAAAACCTGCATTTGTCATGATTCCCATAAATGTTGTTCGTTGCTTTATTAGCGAACTCGTTGATAAGGTGCGAACGGTGACAAGACTCCACTTTAAAGTCAGGGCCTACGTGGAAAACGAACGAACCCATCCAATCAGGCAGGGCCAGACCGCAAAGTCAACCCATCCGGGCGGGGATTGGATTCAATTTACAATGCGAAATCGATTTCCGTTTAATATGTCACAGGGAACGTCGCCAAAAGCTGAAAGCCGCGCAGCTCCGCCCGGGAAAATTGCGAGGAACATCGGAGGGTCAAAGGGTGGGTGACTGGGTGGTCTGGAGGGTTGCTTCGTTGGTGCTTTATGGCCATGTCCATGGCCAGGGCCAGGGCCATAAGCCGAATGGGCGCCGACTCCGCGTCTACACAAAGGTCACGGTCACATCGCTGGCACACGCGCCTCTCCGAGTGCAGGGCTCTGAGTTCTGGCTTCTGGGTTCTGGGTTCTGGTCGCTGTCCCTGGCAAAACAGCCATAAACAAAGTTGCAGTTTTGCAAATGCAAAAACGGGGTGTTGTTTTGGGGGGAATGTTTTGATACTGCCACCCAGTAGCTTACTCGGTGATTGCATGATGAACTAGAGAATAAAATTTGCATTCTCGTCCGCTCTGAACTCGGGGTATAGCCAATTATTCACTAAACTTTGCTGATAATAGACAATGTTGTAGTATAATGTTTTGAGAATTGAATACTTAAACTTAGGACTATGTTTTTTTATATAGTTTGTGAATTGATTTTTTAAAATAACTGATTATTTTATGAGACTAGTTTCAACGATGTGGATTCAAGTTTTCCAACACGTTTTTATGAGTAGATTTTATAAAAATTCTTTTTATACATCTCTAAAAATGGTTTTAATTAAAATCTAAAATAAAAAAAATGGTTTTGAAATGTTCTACTACTTTTCTATTTTAAACTTCATACTTATGTACTTGTATACAGAGAACAATCCTGACTTTACTCTGCTTAATTGTCATACATTTGTATGCCAAACGTTAATGTTTTTGGGCGGCAGCACTCGATTATCGTCTGTTTTGACACCTGACTTCCAGTGCGGAGCAGGTTCCTTCAGCTGACTGGCAGCCATCCAAGAGCTTCGTCAATCGATGGAGACGACATTCGGCCAGGGGAATTCATTGAGTAGTTCGCTATCGTAGTCTACGATCCATGATCGGCTGGCAAATTGCTTGGCTCACCGATTAATTGCGGTTTTCTGTTTTTGTTTTCGCATTTTTTCCGCCGCTTTGTTTAAAATACTTCACGCGATTTTGGGTTTGGTATAATACACGATTGTTTAGACAATAAAAATTAATGAGCAGCGTCGTTCATTTGAAGTTCTTTGCGGGCAATGCGATGTTTATGGTTTGGCGTAAAATAATTTTGTTTAAGAGGTTGCGGTCGGGTGGGAGACTCAAATCAATTGCAATAATTTTTATATTAAATGCAAATAATTTAATATGGCTGGATACATATTGTTTTTGTGATTTAAGATATTATTAGGCGAATAAGAATTGTGTTCAGTAATGATTTAGATGTTTGGAAACATTACTGAAAATATTAAATTATTAATTTTCTTTATAAACAGTTTTTGATATTCTAGTTGTTTCTTAAACTTATATATGTAAATATTTATCTCGTTAATTTCTCTTTTATTATTAATACTTCAATATTAAAATCTAAAAGAACTAAAATAACTGAAAGTAATGTATCTTATTCTTTACAACCCAATAAAAATTTAAGAGACTTAAACTTTCTATGTATATTATAAAAGTCATTTAATACAAGATTGCTTTTGATTTATAAATGTTCAATCCACTACAGCTATTATAACTTATCTTTTCTGACATTCTTAATCTGTTTTGGCTGCCCAAAATAATGTCTGTTTCTGAAGTGTCTTGAAGTGAAGCATCCTATTTATAGGACACTGATCCGAACGCACACCAAATGCAGCCATAACTGCCAGCGGCCGCCACTTGCAGTCAGCTTGAGTGACAATTTAATGCAACTTAATCAGCATCTTGGGCCAGCTGACCATTTCTGCTCGACTGCGTTGACGTCACAGTGGGAATCGCAATGCAGTTGGTCAGCTGGACAGTGCAGCTTTGGGTGTTTCGGAAGTGTGTGGGAGTATCGGGCACTTTCCCCATCTATTTGCATAGGGACTTGAGGCAGCGGAATGCACAGCAAAAGTCAGAATGTAAAGCTCTTTAGCTCTACGGTTGTTTTTTTTTTTTTTTTGATTGCCGACGAGGTAATGGAGCTTATGAGTTACGGATGTGGGCGGGAAGAGCTTTCCCGGGTGCGGCGCATCTCCGGACATTTGCACAATGCTGCAGGAAAACAACCACTGGTTGCAGTTTCCATACTCGCATTGAGAGTGACGCACATTAATCTGACTTTCAGTTAACGCCAACGCGCTTTCAAATTTTACTCCTACATCGTTTTCATCATGCCTTTACCACCGAATTTTCATGAAGTGAGAGAGATTTATAAATAGATTAAGGGCAACTAATAAACTTTGATATTTTAAATGGGTTATCTATTTATTGAATAGTTATTACATATCGCGCTTTCAGAACTTTATTTTAAACTGTGGTCTAAACTGTGGACTTCAACATAATTGCTAAACCCCGTTATAATCAGTATTGTATATCATTATTTTATTTATTTTAAAACAACATACCAATAAAATAATGACCTCCGATTTCTGTGCAATAAAACGATCCCAAAATACTCATGAAATTGTTATTTTTATCTTTGGCAGGAACAAGTAAAACTGGATGCCAGTAGACAGGTAATCAGCCCCGACGACTGCGAAGATCTCAGCCCGATGCCACAGACAGCAGCTCCACCGGTGCGCAGACGCGGAGGAATCTCCGCTGAGCCCGTCACCGAGGAGGATGCCGCAAACTACGTGAAGAAGGTAGTGCCCAAGGACTACAAGACGATGAATGCCCTGTCCAAGGCGATTGCCAAGAATGTGCTCTTTGCCCATTTGGATGAGAGTGAGCGTTCCGACATTTTTGATGCCATGTTCCCAGTGAATCACATTGCCGGCGAGAATATCATCCAGCAGGGCGACGAAGGCGACAACTTCTATGTGATTGATGTGGGCGAGGTCGATGTGAGTATATTTATTAGTTTATAACTGAAACAATATTTCAATTTGGCAGAATTGTTTATGTAAAAACAAAGATAACTGTAAACTTTATATATTTTTGATTTTATTCACCTATCAAAAATATTCGAAAAGTTAAAATATTTATTTGATAGTTGAATATCAAATTGGTATTGAACCTTTTTCTTATCTGGATAATTGTATTTGAAACTTAATTATTTTATTCACCGCTCTTAGGTCTTCGTCAACTCCGAACTGGTGACCACAATCAGCGAGGGCGGAAGCTTTGGCGAATTGGCCCTGATCTATGGCACTCCACGCGCCGCCACCGTGCGGGCCAAAACCGATGTAAAGCTGTGGGGCATCGACCGCGACTCCTACCGCCGCATCCTGATGGGCTCGACCATCCGCAAGCGCAAGATGTACGAGGAGTTCTTGTCGCGCGTCTCCATTCTTGAGAGCCTGGACAAATGGGAGCGCCTCACGGTGGCCGATTCCCTGGAGACCTGCTCTTTCGATGATGGCGAGACGATTGTCAAGCAGGGAGCAGCCGGCGATGATTTCTACATCATCCTCGAGGGATGTGCGGTGGTGCTGCAGCAGCGTTCCGAGGTGAGTGACCGAGATTAGAACTGTCACCTGTAGAGATCCACACTAATCAAATGGCATATCTTATCAGCAGGGAGAGGAACCCGCCGAGGTAGGACGTCTGGGTAGCAGCGATTACTTTGGCGAGATTGCTCTGCTTTTGGACCGACCACGGGCGGCGACCGTTGTGGCCCGCGGGCCGCTCAAGTGCGTCAAACTGGACCGGGCGAGGTGAGTACGAAGAAATTAGGGAAGGGACATCTAAAACATGTATAAAAGTTTCTTATAAGAATATAGTTCGTAGCTTTTGATGACAATATTTATAAGCCATCATTACTATCTCAGTTGGCCACATTCATCTAAATAGAATTTCTTAACTGTTATTTAAAGAATTAACTGTTGTAAAACAACTAATAACCTTTTTTTATTACAGATTTGAACGCGTTTTGGGTCCTTGCGCCGACATTCTCAAACGCAACATCACGCAGTATAACAGTTTCGTTTCGTTGTCCGTTTAAGCCAGCAACAACGATAAGAACCACTACAAAAAATCAACAACAAAGAGCAGCAGCATAAAAAACAACAACAACAGACAAACAAACAACGCAGCGAACGTCAAAAACAACATGAAGGCGGATGAGAAATAGGTGGATAGAAAAACAAACGCTCAGCAGCATAAAGAAGAAATCGTAAACTATATAAGTGTGTAAAGTTAATTGCCGCAAAGCCATGGGATTCTCGATTCTGTCAGAGATACAGAATGCGCGGGGGGCTGAGGGCTAAAAAATGTTAATTATCTGATTCTGTATGTTGTGCTGAAGTTACATAATTGTGTATGTGTGTGTCTCTGTGCAAAGGTTGCGGCGGCATGTTCCCCACCCCGCAACCCTCGACATCGGAGATAGTTTTCCCAGGCTTCATCTATATACTTCTCTTAACTTCTTCAAATTCTCTAAAAACTTTTTGTATAACTAATGGAACATGCTGCCTCCCTAAAAACAAAAACGTTTCATTAAATATCCAACAGACATCTGAATGTTTTTTAACAAAGAAATAAACAAGATGAATATATGTGTAATAAATAAAATCATACAAAAAAGGCAACACACACAGGCACAAAACACAGACACACGAACTCACACACTCTCATACGAGGCATATAGTCATGGAAAAGTAGGAAAGGAATGAAAAAATTGTATTTCGCTTGTATGATTCGTTATTTTTTGTCTAGAACAAAAACACATCGGCAGCAATTAATTAACCATTTTAATTTTAATTTTAGTAAATTATTCTTAAACGTGAACGCTTAGCACATGAAGTCAGCGTGTCAGAAACTATTTAATTAAATTTTAAAATCAATGAAAAATGCATATTGTTTTCTACAAGTTTCTTGTTTCTTTATAGAACGGTGTTTCGTAATTTTAACATAGTTTTATGATTTCTTTAATAACTAATTTAAGCTTGAGCACAGCGAATGCCCAGTTTAAGCTGTTATACTAGAGGTATTCCTGTTTACAAATTGGTATCGACTTTAAAAAACATTTAACATTCAAGAATTGTATCATAATCAAGAAAAATTATACTTTTTAAACCATAGAGCACCTTAATCAAAGGCACCTTAATCAGAGGCAATAATTATTTTATGGAATACCTCTAATATTTAAATTTGAAACTGATGTGCTAGGCATTTCTAGCAACTGCCAGCTAACGAGAAGATAACTTTACAAGAATTTAAAATCTATATTTAATCGCAGAGTCTGGGTGTGTGCGTTTGTGTTGGGTGAGTGTGTGCGTGTGTATCTGTGTGATTTAATGAATATTACCCAAACGAGAAGTTGCATTTACAACACTCAGAAAAAAGCAGCCAACAAAACAATTTATGTGTATATATTTGTAAAGCTTATATCTGCTCGATAGATCATGAAGCATTATCTTTAGCTGTTGCTACATCACACACACACACCCTCATCTACCCACTGACACACGGTTTTGAGAAAATATAAATCGCCAATTTACTTGAAAAAAGTCATAACTTTAAAGAGCGATTTTAAAATGCACTTAAGAGCTACAATTTTGACAATTTTTACAGAATATGCAGAAGGATGTAGCAAAAAAAATGCATTGTTTTTTGAGCTTTGATACACTGTTAGTAAATGAGCAAAATGCAAAAGGTTGAGCCTAGGAAATTTTTAAGGGGTCTGCGCCGTGTGCAGACCACGCCCACTTGGGGCGTTGATGGAACCCGCCGGCGGGTTAGAAATAAAAAAGGGCATGCAAAAATTAACTTTAAACCGAAATGCTGACAGTGAAATATGGAGATCGAGTGGAATACAATTAAATTACAAGCATAATATTATCAATGTAAAATCGTATGTAAAAACCAAGGCAGAAACCTATAAAAACTGACAACAAAACAAACGACAAAAAATGAACAAAAAAATACAAAAAAGAAACTAAGAAATAAATACATTTACATAGATGTTGCAAAAATCAAGCGAATCGAAGCTACTCCCATGGATTCCCGAAATCCTCTCTGTAGATTTGCGTATCCTGTCAGTGAGCTAGCACTTTCGGAGCAGCGGCCCCATGTTTCTGGACGTGATCTTCTTTATACCCACACTGTTCACCTACCTGTTGATTGGGCTTCTCATTGTCATCCTGTGCTTTGTGGTGGTCTATATAAGCCACAAGATCTACGTCTCTGTGTACGACAACCTGCCACTGGCCGACTTGCCTGGAAATTCGCGTCAACAGCTAATGGGATTGCGTCACTCCAACCATGCGATGACCATGCGAGAATACCTGGATAGCTCGCTCCGCAACCCGCGCTCCAATCAGCCGAGCTTGCGCTCCGTTTGGATCCAGAACAGGTCCCAGATCCTGGAGTCCTCCTCGGGTAAGCTCTGCGTCAGTGTGGCAATTGCTCGACAAGCTCTTCTGGGTTTGTTTTTCCTATAGTCCTGCGGATAGTTCTGTCGCTGGAGCCTTGCTATCTGGTCAGCGCGGAGTTCGATGTGAGTTCCAGTCGAAGGGCCGTTAGTTTCATGTGCAACTGCCGGGAAGAGCCCGTATGTGCTGCCACAGAACCTCGACCCTCGGGATCCGTACACATTGTTCGGTACTTTGACCACCTCTCCAAGATCCCGCGCCTCAAAGTCATGCTCAAGTGCAATCAAAGGCGGCCGGAACATAGGCCCGATAGCCGGACGCAGCTGACCCTGAACGACGTGATCCTGGAGGCCAGGGATGCCCAGGAAGCCCCAAGTGCCCAGTGTACGGATAACGCTGCCGCCTGCAGGCCTGTTAGCACGAGACGAAACTCCCGGCAACCGGATTAGGGGTGTGGCTATTGGATAGGGGGTTATGGGTCATCTAAAACTGGCTGCTGTAATGTGGTATATAACTCGTTTTATTAAATTGTATACAAAGATCAATAGGGGACCCTACGTTCCAGGGTCGACGGGTGGGTCAGTGGGTCGGGCACTGAGCTCACGCCAGTTTATGGAAATCGCGTGACAACGAAGGTGAAAGTCAGCGAAGCAATGGAGCTGGTATATACCCAAGCAGAGGCTTAGGTGCCTCCCCTTTATTATCGAACAGGGGTTATTTTAGCTTATTAAAGAGTAAAGAATGGTTTTTATTTTTTCAGGGAAAATTAAAAAAACTAAGATATTATTTGTATCATTTTTTAAGCTTTAAAGTAAAAGGATTATTAGTACATCTTAATTTGTTTAATGACACAATAAAAAATAAACATTCCTGGTTCCGAAAAAATCAAAAGTAAATAGCACATTAGTTACGCGCTTCTCCTTGAAATTTTTAAAATTAAATAAAGTCTTAAACTTAATATTTGTATAATTCAAATTTACATTTTTCCGATTGGTATTAAATTAGGCTTTTAATTAAATATCTTTATTCTTGAGCATCTAAGGATGTTTAAAAAATACTTAAACTACTTTTAAAATAGTTTTCTAAATTTTGATGATTTTATAATGTTTGTTCAAGTTGAAGAAAGAAGTGTTAATAACAACGTATGTATGTATTTGCAGGTTACTGCAATTAATACATTCTATACTTATTCTTCGACTTAATAATTGAGTTATTGTAATTTGGTTTAAAAAATTTCTCGAAAAAAAGAATTTACGGCTACGCCCATGTCCCGCAATCTTAATTTGTATGGGCCGTGTTTTTTTGGGGCTTATCATTATGACTGTGGAATTCCTTATCAATAGATAAAAGCCTCTCCAGACCGTGCCGTTAGCGTGGCTATCTTGCCTAATTGCCGAAATCACTAGCCCCCCACCAGATCTAGCCACCACGAGAGACCCCAAGCAATTTGTTTGACGCCATTTCGTTCTTTATTGACGCGGCCAATTAAGAAGGCAACGTTCTTGATTTGATTGCAAGGCGTATGAATTCCTGTATGAGTTATAAATAAAGCTGGTCGCCGAAAAGTGGTCAGACGTGGAGAGCGGCTCCCAATCGAGAGAAACTCCGGACTGAAAACTTTTCTAATCTCAGCCCATGTTACAGATTCTATTGCACAAGGAGCTTATCAAAAGAAAAAACTGGACGCACAACAAGTAACAACATCTACAGCGGCAGCAGTCTAGCAACGAAGCGTATACGTAATGCCAAGCAAAGTTCCATTCATTTAACGCGCTCGTTTCAGTTCTCGGGCAGGTGTCAACCGACGTACACGCGAAACGACGACGCGGTAACAGTTCCAGAATATCATATACATGCTATAATATATGCTCGAGTGGCTAATTAACATACGCGTTTCGCTCCGTCTCTTTACCTGAACCTAAGCTGTCTGGAATATACTCATCCACATTTCTTTTGGGGAAGCGAGTACAAAGTCACCAAAAATTTTTAAACGAGTATACTCTCGGTATATATTTGTATATGCAAAAACGAATCACCATGCTGGATCCCATTTCGGACACACCGCTGGTCTTGGCCTACGTCTTTATGTCGCTGTTAGTGCTTATTCTGTGCTTTATATTTTTCAATGTGGTCCACAAGCTGTATCGCAGTCTCAACAGCGAGGTATCATCGGTTCCGATATCCACCGCTCTGCCGCTGAAGACCTCGATCATGGAGCTAGACGCCATGAAAACCGGTTAGGATGGGTGCAGCAGCATCGGCAGCTGGCTATGAGAGACGCGAGAATCTCAGTCCGATGTTGGAGCTCCGGTTTTAATTCGGGCGATCGGAGCACGAGGCACGGCAGCTGCAACCACCCACTCGCACGACACAAAATTTAGACGCCTGTTGTTACATATATAAACAAAAAAGCAATTAGACGTAAATACACGAAACTAGGTTTACGAATAGAAATTAACTACATTTAACGCTGGTCCTCTAGTCAATTAATTGTTCGTTTTTGCCCTAAGGTTAGGTTACATGTACATCGATATTGTAAATAAAGTGACTTGAACGATAACTGAACAGCAATTAAGATAGATTGGGGGCAAGTACAAAGCACTTAACCGGTCGGGACTGTAAATGTCGCCTGATCGATGCGTAGAAAAGGCACAACAACCTTATCGTTGCAGTATCGAGACGTATAATTTGTGAGTCAATCAAAAACGTGATAAGGAACCCCTGACTTAGTCATAGATTTATACATAGTTTATTTAAAATAGCATGTTCATCTATAAATTTGCAATTAGAGCGCAGTTTGTTGTTGTGGTAGCTGGATGAGTACGGACTGCAGGAGTCCTCAGCTTTCGGGCCCAGGGCCTCGCAGCTGCGACAAGATGTGGGAAACAGTTTTGGGGATTGGATGAGCGTTGAAGTGATAGCAGCAGGCTGCTTCTGGTGGATCTGCGTCGGTGGCATCATCAATCTGTTGGATCGCTGTAATAGATGAATTAATTATAAACCACTTAGTTGTTAAATATTACAAAACTCACCCCGAGAAAGTCTTTGGATGCTGCGACGTAAGATCATCATCCTGGCTGCCAAGGGCCTTTTTCACATACTACGAAAACGGGATTAATTTAAATAAATAAATAAGACCTGTATATTAAACCAAAAACCTACCAGGGGGTTTAATATAATCTCCTCTTCCATTTTGTTGATTTGTTTAACTTGATCCAAAACCTGAGTTATGTTCGTTTGCACGTTGAGGAACATGTCTGGTGAGTTGTATTTCTCTGGATCGTCTTTGAATAAGACCATGCCATCCTTTTGATTGATGCTGGCATAAATTTCACCCGATTTGATCTTAAATTTGATATTTGGTGTCAAAAGTTTGAACAATTAGAACTGGAAATCCCTTACCATGTTGAGGATGTAACGCTCTGCTTCAACAGCACTGGACAGCTGGACACGACTGGCCACATCGCTCAGGGAGAGGGTCAAGAAGGTTTTTGTTAGCCGCTGGATGTTCCGCTTGTACAAGGAGGTGGCAACCTAAAAACAAATAAAACATTAAATTTAATAATTTGAATAAACTAATGAATTGCCTATATAGGCACACAAAATATGTGCGGTAATGTATTTTTAGCAACATTTTGACGTTATTTCACTGCGACCGGAAATGATTTTATGTTATGTATGCATATTTACTTTGCTAACATTTCCGTGTAAATTTAAATATTTTCCTTATTCCGAACGACAAAAGGTATTAAAAGTATGGTTTATGACTTTGTTCCTCCTTAAAATGTTTTTATACGTTTCAATTATAATTCTCCTTTTATATTATAAATACTTTTGTTTTTCTTTGAGCTTTCAGTAACTATATAAAATCTGAAATAGTTTGTTTTAAGTTTGGTTTCGGTTTATAAAACATTTAACGGGTAAGCAAATAAATATCTTTTGAAAAATAAAGATCTTGAAAATGGGCACTACTACAATTTTAAGACTATTCAAACACTTGCCTGCTTGGCCAGGCCCATGTTGTTATCACGCGTAAATGCTTCACTGTACTTGAGTATGATGATGCGCAGCTCTTCGCTGGACGAATTCGCGTACACATTGACCAGGTCGTGGTAATGATTGGCCATCGGCTTCATGAAACGCCCAATGACCTGTGTGTTTTTTGGTATATACGCTATCTGTAAGCGACAGATTACAAGATTAGGTTGATATATGAAGGGAACTAATCGGGTAGCAATGTCACCTTGCCCTCGACGATGAGTGAAACCATGAGAAACTTTTTGTAGGCTTCCAGCATGATGTGCGACATGGCCATGGCTGGAGTAGTGATGCACACCTCGAAGAAGTACAGGGCACGCTCGTAGCTCTTCACCGCCGTGTAGATCATACCGCCGTAGTAGTAGTACAGCAAGAAGTACTTGGCATCGTTGTTGGCATCCTACAACAGGCAATGTAACGATGAGTTCATTAAGTTCTGAAATTGGCTTTGAGCCTCACCACCGTGTGCTGGGACTGCTGCTGCTGCTGCGTTTTACACTCGGCGGCCACGGTGGAGATGTCCGTGATGTCGGTATCCAGATAGGGCAGCACCACACTGAAGTTTTTCGCCTTCAGGCTTAGCAGGCAGAGATCGGCATGGATGGGCGTTAGCTGGGTGTCCAATTGTCGGATCTGGTCAATGGCTCGCGAAAGGATGCGTATGCCCAGGATGCTGAGGTTCTTTTGGACCACAAACTCGGTGAACAGATGGCATGTTTCATAGACTGCGTTTAGAGAAAATAGAGTTTATTTGCAGTGTTTATAGAAAATACGGACTATAACTCACAGGCGCACACAGCATACCGCAGCTGCTCCGCATTGTTACGCTGCACAAAGTCCCGCATCAACTGGATGAGTTGCACCGGCTCCGGATTTGCGGTGGAAGCACTGTGCAGCTTCGCCAGGAGCACATAAAGAACGCCCAGCGAGTGCTGCTGCATGTCGAGGGTTTCCAGTACGTTGTCCAGAATGCTCCAGTTGCGGGCCAGCAGAGATAGCGACTCCGGCAGCTCCTCGGCCAGCTCCCGATAGCTTCCTGAGATAAAAGCCGCACCAAAATCAGTCGAAATTCGCATAAATAACAAAACAAAGGCGGCGGCGAGTACGGTTTTGCTGTTCCCGGATCGCCGGTTGTCCAACTTACCGGATGCACTCAGCGTGCGCACCTGATTCACATAGTTTTCCAGCGCGCTGCCCATTTTAGGAATTTCCGAGACTTCTTTTTGGCCTATTTATTTGCGAAAATGTACACGCTAATTCTTATTGAAAACTGCATAGAAGTCGCACATTCAGTGTGACCGTAGCAGGAGCGGCTAAATATACCAAATTGCACTGAATAATATACTGAATGTTTTATAGGGTCATACCACTCGCATTGTTTTATATATTTCTTTGTTTGAAAGTGTGTGAATAGATTAAATAAACTAAAATGTTTTTAAATTTTATATTAATTTTAATTAGGGAATTTAGACAATTTACCAAAAAAAATCTACAAATTAAAATTATTTTATTGTATTGTTAATGGTTTTGGTAATTTCTAAGAGTATATTTAATTAATTTAACTATTCTATCTACATTATGAAAGATTTCTTTAATTTTAACTTTGTATTTTTTAAATAAATTTAGATCAACCACGTGACTTAAATGAATATACAACTTTCTGCTTTTTAGCTTAATACACTAGCTTTGTTCTCTAACTTAACTTTATTTAGCAAACATTTTAATTTATTAATCAATATGGATAATAATAATACAAATAAAACCCAAATTTCTAGTTTTTTATAAGTTTGTAAATTTATCTTTCCATTTTAATAATAAATCTTAACCAAAAATATTTGACAGGTTGCTAACGATATATTTATGAGAAGGATAAGCCAATTACCAAAATTCACAAAACCATTTTAATGCAATAGCTAAAATTTTTGTAAAGCTATTTATACATTTAAATTTCGATAGTCGATACTGTAAAAATGTCATCTCTAGTCTAATACGATAACTTCTTAATCATTTTGCAAACAAGTTGTTGTGGCTGTCACAAATATTCTTTAATTAAATGTTTAATGAATAATTCACCGCGTATAGTGTATGTGTGTAGCCTGTGTCTACGGCAATATGATCTCCAGGAGGATCTTCGTGGACACATGGTGTACTTCCATGGATACGAGCACATTTCGGTGCCCGCGGCCAAAAAGAAAACAGAAAAGACTTCAATTAAACAACATACAGCAGGCGGCAAGATTAACCAGGATAAACAATCAATTGAGCAGAAATTGGAAGACCCAAAACCATCGCCAACTGAACTGCAGCCCATGCCTTTTAAGGATTTCCGACTGGTTTTGAGGGCCAATATGCTAGCACCGTAGGTATTACCAGTAAATCATAAGAAACCGGTAGTAAATCTCTTCCTTAAAGGTGTTCTTTTGGCAAGGACTGCCCCTTCAAGTTTCAGGATGCTGCGAAAATGGATCTTCACTCTAGTTGCCACAAAGGCGGCAGCTTCTCCTGCTGCGAATGTGGATTGGAGCTGCCAAACTGGCGGCGCTGCTCGGCTCACCTATGGAAAACTCACCAGGTGGATGTGGATCTACTTGAGTGTCCCGCTTTTGATTGCAACTACAAGTCACCCATATCCGCTCTCGTATGGAGACATATGCAGGTTCATAAAAAATGGCGACCCAGGGTGCTTCGTTCTTTGGCGGCCGTCCAGCGGAGAAGGAAACTTAAGGGGCACCCCGGGGAGATCCCTGCTCAGCCTTTAGCTCCTCCACCGACAACTAAGAAGAACAAATACTATGCGGAAAAGACCTGCGAGATTTGCAATCGAAAGTTTGTCAATGGCAAGACTCTCTCCAAGCATGTGAAAACTGTGCACAACAAAATCAAGCCATTTATATGTAATGTATGTGGTAAGAAGACAGCGCGAAAGGCGAGTTTGATTGTAAGTCTTTGGTATTATGTGAATTGTTTCTTTTAAGATCTTGTAATGTATTTATTATCTTCACAGATCCACATGCGTCAGCACACAGGCGAAAAACCGCTGCAGTGCGGTGAGTGCAAGTTCTCTACTCGGGATCCTAGTGTCCTACACAAACATAGGCAGCGCCATAATAGTGAGGACACCCGGAGCAGTCTAAAGTGCACCCAATGCGAGTACTACTGCATCCAGGCCAATGCCCTTAAGCGTCATATGCGTCTGAATCATGCCCAAGCCTATCGAGATCTGTGCTGTGATCTCTGCAGCTTTACCTCTATAAATGCCGAACGTTTGCAAGCCCACAAGCAGGATCATCGACAGGGACTCATCACAAATTGCGAGGACTCCATGGATGCCACCCGTGCCGCCGGATTCAAGTATCCACGCAAGTTGGGTGACAAAAATGGCGAGGTGAGGTTATTTTATTACCTCTGGAAAATAATGTTTCAGCTTCAAATAAATTCAGATATCAGCAGACTGTTTTATGCCGCTGGAGAGTGTGGATTCGTTGCCACATGAGCCAGCTGTGGACACGGGTGGAGTAACCATACCAGCTCCTCCATCTGAGGATACACAATTCCCCACGTATTTGAAGGACTAAACGTAAAAATTTTTTTAAATTTTAAATTGGAATGTAAGTGAGAATTTTATGTTATTCTCTTTGACTCCCAAATTTATTCCATTCATATTAAGTCATTTATCATTTTGTATATTTATTTATATATACCTATGTATGTATGTATTTATCGACAATTTAATTTGTTGAATGTTGGCGTGTCCGTTGCGCTGTAAAAAGTTGTGTAGTAAATAATTTTCTCATGCAGTTTGTTTGGGGATTTAAATGCTTGTTTATTAAGTTGTTCAGTTTTTCCATTTAATTTTAATATCATTTTAGAATCTGATATGATTTTTTTTTCAACATTCGAATTATTTAGTCATGCTGGTTTACCGTGTTCAGTTTTAATTATCAAGTACGTTTTACTTTAAACTAATTTAAAATTTAAAAATCTACTCTGCTGGCGATAATCATCCGGTTTCAGTTCGGTTTCACAATCAGCGCTTTTTAATCTAGGTTACGACAGAAACATTTTCAATGGTTTTTTTTTATTTGGGCAGTTTCGCTAATAACTGGTTAAGTTTTTTAATATTTAATTTGATTCAATTAGTTTAGTAGTTGAGCTTTACGTTTGGTTTAATATAATTATTTACGCTTGAATGTAATCAGCTGGCCATCGCAGATCAAGTGATCTGGCGGTGCCTAAAATTATAATGTCCCTCCGGTCCTTTTGTTCGCTATTAGCAATTGAAATAAGTTACCACCGAGTTACAAAAGAATAGACTTTAACGTTTATTGTCTGAGTTTGATTCGATATCAAAATATGTTCACTATTTGAGAGTGCAAATGAGGAGTACAGTATAATGACAAATAAAACGCTCAATGTAAAATTGTTAATATCATACAGCTTCTATTTGTTTTATTTACAGTTCTTAAAATGAAGAAGAGTATCAACAAAAATAGCATTTCGACTGATTCACACTCTGCTGTGTTGTCTTTTTGGAGTCCCTGATCCCTGCTCCCTCCTTTTTGGCCAGGCCGGGCATTTTGCTTTGCTTTGATCCCCGAGCCTTAGATCTTGGTCTCAACGACGGGTTTTTTCTTCGACACAAAAAGGGATGTTCAAAGAGAGAATACAAAATAGAAAAGGATTCGATTAAGTCAGCTGCCATTGAGCCCAGAGCCAACAAACGAGGATTACCATGCAAAGATTGGTTTGGTTTTGATCTGATTGATTTGGTTTGGTTTGGTGGTGAGGGAGCAGGCGCTAGATGATGTGGCATGGAGCGAACTGTGCACTTTGGAGACAACAACATCAACAACAATGGGCGTGAGCTGACTGAATGACTTCGATTCGACTGGGTTTTGAGTACTTTGAATACGACGAGATACCACTAAGTTGTTGGCTTGATTTAGCTTTGATTATGCTGATATTATCCATGATCACTACAACGTCTATTAAACAACTAACGAATTCATCTAGCTTCTATATATATTGACATATTCGACTATCCAATGTGTCCCCCTGGCGACTAATTTACGTTTACGATGCCATCCATCAATCTTAAAATGTAAAACATGTTTCACTTACGATCTACTCTTGGAATTGTCGATTAATTTCCCTTTTATCCGCTTACTCCTTTTGATTTTTACTATTTATTTTATTTTCTTTTCATTTCTTTTTTTTGTTTTTGTGCGCCGCATAATAAATGCTGTGGGAGTTTCTGAAACATTCCCCAAAAAAACTAACCCTTCCCATCTGAACTCGTTTAGTCGGTTTGATTAGCATAGTACGATACACTTAAAGGCTATTAGGAAACAGTTGTATCTACATAGGTCTATGAGTACTCTGTTATAACCAAAGACACGAACCTAGTGGAAGTATTAACTGGTCAGATCTGTCCGATTTCTGGTCCTCGTCCTTTCGTGTTACGCGATCGTTAGTATGTACAGTGTGTGTTTTTGTGTGGGTCGAGTTGGGAAATCAAATCGAAAATACATACGAAAAAACCCTAGGCCTAGAAAATTGCTTATAAAATTGCGCGACACTAAAAAAAAGAACACGAGTCATCCGAGTCTTGCGATCTATAAAATAGAGGTTAATACAAATAGAACCAACGAAATCGTGCGATCTGTAACGGATTCGCTCTCATATAAATGCATTTTAAAAAACAGGTGAACGATTTTGATTCTGGTTTTTTGGTTTTGGTTTTGATTTCGAAAAAGAGTTGCCTTTTCTTTTGATCGTTTCATTGTTGCGTTTCGCATTCGCGTCAGTTGTAATTGTGGTTTCTGTATCTTTTGGTTGGCTTGTGGTGGCGATTCTGGTTTCTGTTCCGGGGCACAATTCTGCACGTTACTGGCCGTCGAGCATCAGACCGTGGTCACACGGTCAATCTCGACGTAACGCACAGAATTGTCGCTTTGTCAGCAAATCACCTCCTTTTCATCCAATACGGCCGTGTCCATTGAGCTGAGCGATTTGAGTCGCGTCTGCAGCACCGAGGAGCCGCGCAGCTTCCGTTTGATTTTCCTAAAAGAGTCCATTCCCCATCCATTAGTTAACATTTTCATTAAAACCCTTTTACATCACTTACTTGTAGGCAAAGGCAGCGAAAGCACAACACGAGAGCACAAAGATCAGGCAAAGGGTGGCCAAGATCTCGGCGGGCAGTTTCATTAAGGCCGAGCACTGCAAGAAGGTCTCATCATCTCCGGAAGGACAATGGACAACGCCATCGCACCAAACACTTGCGTTCACACAGGCAGCCAGTTCTGCACATTTAAACTGGCAGTCCTCTGCGGGGTTGGGATAGGATATAGATTTTATTCGTAAAAGATTAAATACGAAACCTACCGGCAATACTTAGTGTGGGTCGCGGAATCAATTCCATCCAGTTAAAGGAGTACTCGCCATTGCCAGGACGTAGAAACTCTACGCTGATGGCCCTAGATCGATTGATAAGCGCAAAATTGGGTCTCTCATTCCAACCGGAGCTGAAAATCTCCACAAACTCATAGGCACTTGAGTCCGGACTCAGTGGGCAGGCCACAATGGTTAGACCTAAATTATTTAAAAAGTGTAAAATATAATAAATTATAGAAAATATTGAAACCTACCCTCTGAAGTGGTCAGCACAGCCCTCGACTTGGTCTCACATCTCCAAGAATCTGTTTGAACATAGGTGGTGTTCAGAGTCTTCATGGGATTGTGTTTACTCAAGAATATAGCCTTCAGTCGCACATACAAGAATTTATTGCCATTTGAAGGCTCAATCAGCCAGGGTCTTGAGCGGCACTCCACCTAAAGGAGATAAAATTTAATTGTAATTAACATAATCAAGGAGCTTAAGGATCTACTTACATCTCCAAAGGTCATATCTATGGTGCCACTGGGTCCGAACTTCCGGCGACCATCCTTGCAACTTGTTGGCGCCTTGACAAACTCGAACATGCCCTCGAAATTAACCGTGTCCGGATCATCCAAGGTGGTCATGTTTTGGGCAATGAAGTGCACCTCCACGTCGCGACTTGTAGATGTGTACTCCACTGGCAGGTGGGATTGGTTGGAGGAGTTGCACATGCAGCCACGATGAAGTAGAATTGAATCGTGATAGGGCCGCTCAAAGATCTGTAAGGATAGCAATTAGTTTTTAAAGAAGTTTGGATTAAATTAGATTATATCTACCTCAATTCTGACATTCGTATCCCCATAGCAAAAAGATCGATTGATATCCTCATCAACACGGGAATAGCAAGCTCTATTGGTAGTTGTCACTTTTCTCATCTTGATTCTGACCCGTTCCCCACGTTGCGCCTCGAATTTGTAGATGCATTTCAGGTTCCTAGTGCCTCCTCTTCCGAATAGAAATATATTGCGGACGCTACGGAAAATGGCTGGATCCTTGCGATCCATCATGCTGCTGAGGAACTTGCGGTTGCAATCATGTTCCCCGCCTCCCCAGGGCAAACCATCCTGATGCAGGTCTATGAACTCGTACTTCAGCTTGAAATCCAGTGGTCTAAAAAGGGAGATTACCAGGATTATGTAAAATAATTTATAGGGAAACCCTACCTTAGTACTGTGGATTCGGTGTTACGCAGCTCTAGCGTGATGGCATCGCTGCTGGACACATAGCTCTCGGATATTGTACAGGGCCTGGCGTAGGTCTCATTAATATTGGAGCGATCACAGGTGCGGGGTATAGTGCCCCGACAAAATCTGGCTATCACATTGGTGGAGTTGTGAGCATAGTGACCCAGAGTATTATAGCTACTCGTTTCGCTGGCACTAAAGTTAAATAATTTGTTTTAGATTTACTGTTTTTCTATTTTATTTTAACTACCTACCAGTTCAAGTCTTTGCACACGGGTGCATCCCTTAGAGTTCCATCCCAGATGCGGAGCATTCCGCTGCAATCCTCCTGCGTTTGCAACACTCCAATTGCCCCCACCGATGTCTCATCTATCTGGCCAAATTCCGGGTCCAAGTTGAACTTCAGAATGGAAATCCACACCTTAAACCGGGAAAGTGGCTGATGCATCCCGGATTGACTGCTCGTCCTGCGCGACAAACTCAGGTGGTCAAAGGTCTTGAAGACGCCAAGTCCTTGCAGATGATACAGGCACGTGGAATTCGGGGCCAGCGAGTGCTTGGGACTCTCCAGGATGCCACGACCTGCTCCGCGAATCCAAAACTCGCAGGGCTTCTTGTTCTTCGAGTACGTGGGACTCTGGATGTCCACGAATTGAACTTCAACCTGCGGTGGTAAAAACAACGTCAAGTGGTTTGCTGGTTTTCCCTTTTGGATAAACCACTCACCTCCAGCTGGAAACCGTAGAGCGGGAGGACCTGCGACGAGGTGCCGGTGAAGGTGCCAAACGGGGACGTGCTGAACTCGACCAAAAGCTCCGGGCCGCTGGAAACGGCCGCTGGCACTGCCTGACCGCCGCCGCAAAACTTCAATATGATGGGGTCACGTGTGGTGTAGCCGTCGTACACGGTCACGTAGTCCTGCGGGTGCGAAAGGACACCGAGAGAGAGAGAGAGAGAGAGGGCGAGAGAAGAAGGAGAACAGAGTGGGTGAGGAGAGAGCGAAATGAGTGAGTCGGGCGACAAATGTGGGTGGTGCTTGTTGATTTCACCATGTGGGTGACACTAACTAACTACACAGTGAGATAAAACTCCTAAGTGTCTTATAAATAGAGATCCTATCCGTGGCATTTTACATTTTTAATATCGTAAACATAATGATGTCCTTAGCTGACATAAATAAATATTAAAGTAGCAATTTAGAGACTATTAAAAAAAAAAAAAGGTAAAACATTTAAGACAATTTCCGAACGACGACAATGTGATAAATAAAAAAAAGAAAACAAAACAAAATATAATATAAAAAAACAAATAAGCTTATTACATTATAATTAGTAAGCGATTATAATAGTCACCGTAAAGGCCTTAAAAAATGTTAGTTTTTAAAAATATTTTGAAACTTTGTAAAATTAATTTGTTCTTCGTTTTTGAAAAATGAGGAAATAGTTGGTTTAAAAACAATAACGAAATACTGCAAAATTTGATTCATAGTGTAGTAATTGAAGTTAAAGGCCGAGTGTGGCCAAAAGAGGGCGGAATGAGAGGGCGGGGCTGAGTCGAACTGAGTGGGAAAGAACGGTAATTGCTGTAAAGAAGTGGACCCAAAGTGCAGCAGGCTCTCGTATTACTTAATGGCCACTGTACGTATACGTGATTTTTGGTTACATTCCGCTTCCCAGGACGATGGAAAGTAATGGTGCGGTGTGTTAGTTAAGGGTAAGGGGGTTATAAGGACTTCGAGCAGGTCTAAGTAGTTGAGCACAATGGCTTTGATGTGTCCAACACTTGATGCCCACTAAATGTCAAACATTTTAAGCTCATTTAAAGTTTGTTTTAAATGAATGAAACATGTTTATGCGGTTTTTCTAAGGGTATATTTAAAGTGCTTCGTGGTGGCAAAGGCCTTTTACTAAATTGAAGTCTGAGGGTATGTCTGAAAATGTTTGCCAGTTTTTTGGGGTGACTTTGGTTGTTAAAAAAAGGTGTTGATGGAATTTAATATACTACAATAAGGTTAGACCTCTCAAAATTTTAAAAAATTGGAATATGATAGTACCCAACGAACTAGCAGATTTGAAACTGTACTTTTATATTCAAACATTGAGTTTTGATATCAACAGCATATTGCTTATTCATCTTAACCATCGCACTGACTATAATTAAAACATTTATTCAGATGAGCAACTTGTTTCGTATTTTATGGTTACTCAAAGGTATCATAGTATTATTACCTGAGTTGGCAGTTGCCATAAACGTAACATGTTCATTTGTGTGCGGTTTCTACTGGCTTTGGCATTTGGCGCATAATTGTGCGCATTTTAATTGAGTTGGCCTTGCGCGGTGTGGGTGTAAATGGTGTTTCCATGGTGCTACTGGAATTCGGACTGAGTCCCTGTCCACGGGCATTTCCTACCTTTGGCCAACGCATGACAAATTAGTTTTGTGGCCAGGGACTTTTTGCATTAATTTAGCTGAGGTTTCTGTTTCCTGGTCGCCCTTGTTTGTGCATCTGGCCGCAAATTTAAACTATGCCAGAAACCGCAGACCAGATTCCGGACCGGAGCCACAGTCCGCACACCCGTGCCAGTGGTCCAGGTAATTTGTGACCACAAATTTATTGAAAGCGCGGCATTTGTACAAATTAGTGGAGACACAGATGGGGGATATATAAGGATAAATGGGGAGATTACGTTTTTCCCTCTATATCAGCAGAAGGGGTTCCCAGGCTCACAGGGTAAAAAAACTATATAGCTCGCTTAAAATATAAAAAAAGTTTGCCAATTTATTATTTTAATCATATTTTTAGGTGATTAAATGCAAATTAAAGTAATAATAATGAATATTTTAAATCATAATTTTTTTACATGCTTACGTTTTTGTTCATTGAGATGAAAAAGTTAATTTCAGATCACACTAAGCTTGTTTTGCTTTTTTATTTGGGGAAAACATTTGAATGAAAATGTAATAAAAATGTGTATTAAAATACCAATTTGATAGTTTATTTTAATGGATTTGAATGGCTTTTTTCCATGTGTGCACTCCTGTTCCCGTGCCCAGTTTCCCATTCCTTTCGTTGATCTCAGGCTGCTGGACTCTCGCCATCCGGCGATTATTCACACATGCCGCACCAAAATGGCCAGCACTTTTGGACATTTTGGCTTAAGAGCGCGAGACAAAAAGTGGGAAAAAGTCGGTGGGAAATGGCAAGCGGAGGACAATTTGTAGGCAGAGTGCACAGGCCCAGGGTCCTGCAATCCTTGCAAATGGCGCTAACGTCCGAGCGGATTGCTTTCCAACTGAATAAGCAAAAAGTAAAGGGGTTAGCCGGCTAGGTCTCCGGGTTAGGAGAGTCCAAAGTGTAGGAAGGGATTTGCACGCCTTGCTGCCACAACGAGCATTTAATGGGGGATTTACTGAGGGCCGGAGCACAGGGGTCACATCCTCCCCTGTCAGAGGGATTTTGTTGCGAAGCGAAATTGAATAGTTGCTGATGACTAAATGGGCAACTAAAAGCAAAATTCCTCGACACGGAAATCGTCAAAACGTTTTAGTGGAGATTCCCCATCCTCCCTTTTTGGCTAAGAGGATGGGTATAGGGAATGGAATGTCTTTGACCGCTGTGGCAGATCAGCTTAAAGCGGTCTGAATGGAGCCCGGAAGTGGGAAATCCACCAGGAGTGGCATCCTCTGCTCTTCTGCTTTTGTATGATGAATGCCCGGGGCAATTATTTACATGGGACCCAGGCACGCTCGTCCACTGATGTCCTTGATGCCCTCAGACCTCAAACCCGCTTTGTGTGCGATTTATGATGTGCGTGCCAAGTGTTCATTAATATAAATCCAATGACAGATTCTGCCCCTCGCGTGTGTGCTAATGAATATATTATCTAGTCTATAGATATCCCATAGATGTCGATTTACCCAGATCATTTTGATTTGTTGTTTGTTTGCTGGGGTTTAGCGGGCAGTGCATACATTTAGCTTGATTAATTGTTTTCGAACAGCGAGAGATGGCAAATAATTGTTACTAATCGTGGGGGGAGATACAAAGAGAGAGTGAATTGTGGGGTGAGGTGGGTGGTTGGGTGTCAGAACTCAAGTGCTCACTATTTCTACTACTAAATTGATTTGTGGCATCATGAGTTTGTATTGAATTGAATTGAATTGAACTGAGCGAGGTATTTTCTTTAGTCTTGCATTACCGTGGATTTCCATTTGGGCTTTACATTTTCCTATTGGAGAAAATATATACATATATTTATAGGTACTTCAGCATTTACTGGATGTATAGCAATTTCTAGTTTGGTGCAGTTTAAGAAATTAAGTGGTTTTCAAAAGAGAAATTTTCTAAGGGTTTTGGGGTAAAGACTGCATGGCACTGGGATAATCCGAAGATTTTCTATCATCTTCTTTAAAACTTCTACCATTCTCTCTTGTTTCTTTTTAAATCCTACTCCTTGCTATTCCAGCTTTTTGCATTTTCAGAAAACAAGTGCATTCTTAAAGGATACATTTTCTATGGGGTGCACAATTGAGATAATCCGGGGAAAAGCAATTAATTCCCCCTTTATTTTAACAGTGTTCTGGCACAGAAAGTTTTCTTATTCTAATTCTCTTTTTTAAATCCCTCTCCAGTTTCTTTTTTATGTTTAATATAATTAAAATGCCTTAATGATGGCCTAGTTTCTTTCAAGCATATACCTTTCGCCAGCTTATTTAACACTTCGTATCCCTCATATTTTCCGTTTTGCCGGCTTATTCTCCATTTATACTCCATTCTGCATACACAACGCTCATTAAGAGCTCATCCAAAAGTTGCCCCTTTTAAGTTGGGGGCTTTATGGACTCCAGTACGAGTCCCGCTCCCCGATGGCAAACAAAAAGAAAGGCTACGAAATTAACACTTCCCGCGACTGGCTAGAGAAGCCTATCGAGTGCTTAAGGCAATGTCGGACGGAGGACTTCGTCCTGGAACTCGGACGAGGACATGGACATCGGATGTGGAGGCGCACACACAATGCCGGGGCAATGACAGTGGAAAATCGGAGGGGAATACGGGACGGAAGGGAGTGCAAACAACTGATTTCAGATTTTTGCTCATTTCTTTTTCAATTTGTCGTTTTTTGCGCAGTTTTTCCACCAGTTTTCCACCCCGAATTTTCCCGCTGGCCCTGTTCGCCGGCCACTGGCCAACAGAGGAAGTAATTTTTATGCTGGATCTCTCGTTAAAGTTGGCAAATGCAAACACAGAGCAGTTCATCGCAGGGACATTTACAAATACAGATACAGATACAGGCGAGATACTCAGATACAGATACAGATTCAGATAGATAGAGAAGAGATAGAGGCGGAGAAAAGTGCATTTAAAGGCAGATTTAATTACCTGAATGTAATCGCAGTCATTCCATGTTTTCAGCCTGGGCTCGAATTTCTTATCCTTGTCGCTGGCACTCGGTGGCGGTGCCATTTTGTTCGCCGTGGCCGTTTCCTGGGTGGAGATCCAGACCAGATTGCCCTTGGGCTGTTTGACTAGAATCAGGGCGTGTTTGCCATGGGGCACGTCGTGCTGTGTGGACAGGAGAATTAAATGCAAATTAATGAGCCGCAGCGCACAGAATGTTTTGTTTGACAGTCCCATTCCCCCCTGCTGGAATAGAAACAGGAGGATTAATTGGAGCATTTAAATTACGCAAAGTTCGCTCCGCGGAATTTTCTGCCCGACCTTGTAAAAAGTGATTGAAATTTGTATTTCTTCTTATTCAAATGGGACATTTGATTTATACGACATTGAAAAAAAGAATTCTAATTCTATTTCAGAATCAGAAATAATACAAAAATAAATATATACAATTTTAAGCTTTTGTTTTTTAGACCTTTTTGCTAAATTATTTAATTTGTTTCTATATATTGACAAAAACGTTCATATAAGTAACAAGTTTCTAAAAGATTTCAGACGTTTAATTGTTTTTAAATAAAGTAAAGAAATACCTATATTAAAAAAAGTGACACCATGTTGAATGTGTTTTTTATTTCCTGGTTTCTGTAAAGACTCTACAAAAAAACTTATCTATACCTGTATAAGCCGGCTTTGCCAATGACTTTGAACTACGTGACTTCCAAATATAGCCAGCCACATTATGCTCTGTACAAGCCGAGGAGCCAGTAAACAATTTGTAATTTTAAAAGGACGTCCACAGCATGTGAGACCTTTAACAGTTGATTGCCAATGGCAACGGGTCCTGCCAGGAGAATCCCCGTCGGGCTGGAGCAGACATATTAAAAATGCCAAGGAGGCTGGCAACGCTTTAGACGGCAGTCTCTGCTCCTCCAGTTAATTATAATAAAAGCCCATTCTATTTTGGAATGTAAATTGCCATTTAATTTTTTCTCTCTTGATTTTTGAACTTTGTTGTGGCATGAATAAAAATAAGGCAGAGCGCTTTACGCTTTGGCTGTATTTTTATGACCCAACAGCAAGGATGTCCGCAAAATCCTGCGTTGGTAGGAAGTGTCAAACCTTTTTGGCCTGGCACGGCTTGTAACCCGGAACATTAGACTCGCTGGCTGGAGTTTAATTTCCTTTTAATTGTTCTTTGCTCACCTGTCGCACTGCGTAGTAGCAGGTGAGATTGCGGGGATAGATGCCGGGAAAGTTGGGCGACTGCAGGCGGCAGGGCTTCTTGTCGCAGTCGCTGAAGATCCTGGAGCAATACGTTCCGGGTATAAGGTCACCTGCGAATGCGAGAAACAGATGTCACACCCAGAAATAATATTTAATGAGTCATTAAAAGAGGTATTAGCTAGGAAAATTAATTTATATAAAAATAAAGTCAAAAAATAGGAATTTTCAGAAGACTCTCAATTCAAATAAGTGCTTAAGTAAAAATTATATTTAATACTATTCCTAAAATCCTGTTATTATAATATCAAATATAAGCTAGTTTGATATTTAATTGATTATATTGAAAAATGAGTATAGAAGTGTTTTGGTTTTTGGTTCAACAAAATAAGAATAGTGAAATAGTTTTATAAGTCATACTAATTATTTTATTTTCTAAACTTACCCAAATAGTATTTGGGCTCCGTGTAGTTTTGCTCGTCCTTGGCCAGAGACTTTTCCAGCGAGGCCATGAAGGTCTTGTTGTTGGCATAAGCGCTGAACAGACTGAAGTCCTGGCCATAACGGTCCGAACGGGCTCCACTGGAGTTGGTGAAATCCTCCAGGATACCAGGTCCACCACCACCTTGTTGCTGCTGCTGCTGTTGTTGCTGTTGCTGATTAAGGAAGCTGCTGCGGTTGTGCCACTGGGCCAACTCTGAAAAAAAGGGAACAGTTGAGTGGATTAGGAACACGCCTCGACCTCAGTCCCTGTGGTCGCACGCACCTGCCAGCTTAATGCCCCCGTAGCGGGTCACCGAACTGTCCCTGGACAGAACCTTGTATCTGATGCGGAAGTCGAAGTTGTAGCCACTCTGATCCCTCGCCAGTCTGTGGGTTATATTTACACATAAATCGGGGTCAGTTAATTATATCGGACGCGGTTCGCACCTGTTCAGCCGGATGGTGAATATCAGGGAGCGGGTTTCGCTGTAGAATAGCACTGGTCCCCAGGAGCTGCCGCACCACATTCCACCGATGGGCGTCCGCGCCGACTCCGCTATCTGCATATATCCGTCTGGACAACCCTCATGAACGTACGAGGTGAACCTGCCAATCGTGAAGCTGTCCAGGGTGACCTAGGGCGATTCGGACAGTGAAGATGTGAGATATGTCATAGCATCTCTTCTTTAGGAAGCCTTAAATGCCCCTAAAGCTTAATTTAATATTAAGCTCAATTCAGACTATATTTTCCTACATATATACACATTTTCCATTTATGTTTTTAGTAGCTTTTAATAAATAATAACCACAGATTAAGCTGTCTAAAATAAGCTACTTGATATTTTATTTTTGATAACCCTATTGTGGACAACAAAATTAAAGATTTTGTTTCTTTTGAGTTAGAGTCACAAAATCGACATCATAGATTATCAATACACGTATTATTTTTAACGTTAAGAAATTTCAAATCTTTTTATTGTTAGGTAAATGCACTTTTTAATCTTTGACTTTTATAACAGTTGTAATATGGCCAAAAACTCTGTTTACCTTACCTACTTTCTAAATTCCTTTAAGTCTTAAGCTATATTATTTTTTAAGTAGTTTCGCATAAACTCAGCAAATATGTTTAACCATTTAGAAAGGGAAAATTTGCCTGAACTCCCTGTTTGTTTTTCAATTACATAACGATTTATTGTTAGCTCCACCATCTAGTAAAGGGAAATGCTTCTACTCCTCCCGATGGCATAAATCTGCTGGAATCTAGTATAGTCTCTCTGCTGGGCATAAAATATTTTCAGGATGCGCCGAATGGGGGTGTCAGTAATAAAGTTTCGGTCAGTGCTCGTAGCTCAGTGGATATCAGTTCCGAATGCTCTTGGGACGCACTCGAGCATGCCAAAGGCTTTGGCTGGCTGCCTGGTACTCCTCCTTCGGCTCCTCCTCATCCTCCTGCTGCCCCAGCATCCTTCATTCCAATTGGAGGTGTGAAGTGGCGTAATAACTAACAGGCGCCGGCACTTGCTTCCTGTTGCCCCAAAATGGGGTGGTGGTGCAGCATTTGCTACGCTCCAGCGAGTGGCTTTGAAATCAATATTGCTTCTGCCACCCACAATCCACAACCCATTTATTCAATGCCCCCTCACCCCCGTCTTCTGCCAGCGCCATTGTTGTTGCTTATCTTTTAATGGCGTAGTTTATCCCGTTACAAAATGAAATGTGAAAGGCAATGGCAGCAGCAGAAAGAGGAGAACCTCTGCAGTTAAAGGTACACCGGAAGAATAAACTGCTCAATTAAATGTTATTTTTTTTGTAAATCTTCATTGTGGTTTGATATCCAACGCTTTTTTTACAAATTAAACAAAATTACCATTTTTATAAAAACTGTAATTGATAAAAATCGAATTTTGTCCTGACTACTCAACATTTGGCAGCAAAAAGTCCAATATATAAATCAACCCCATTTTCTGTTTTAACCACATTATCATACATCATTAATTAATTTGATTTGAAATACCAAAAGGATATGAGATTGTTGCATATTAAAATAAACTCTTATCATCAAATAACCTATTTTATTTAATGCAAATTTATTTAATCTTTGATATTATTTAATATCCCTTTTTAATAAGATCTTAAAAGTTCTAATTCACTTGAGCGCAATGCAGATTTTGGTTGTAACTCAAAATAAAATAACCCTTTATGGGTAATTTTTTTTGTGTAGCTGGATTTGAACCCTGACCCGACTCACCTGCACCACATCGCCATGTTGGCCACCTGCCGCCGTGAAGGTGAGCACACACACAAAGGGCACGCGATCCTGTTTGGGGCGGTGCAACTCCAGGGAGTACGTCTGGCCGATGTCCCCGTAGTAGGTGCGATTACAGCCTGCAAATATATATTAAACGCAATTAGCGTTAGTTTGGCAATTAGTTTGTTTGCCTCGCGCGTAACCAGGCAACCCAAACTGATATATTCCTTTCCAAAACCCAAAAGGGGGATACCCCCGAATGAACCACAGAGGAATGGCAATTGTCGCACCATAAATCATCGCCAGACCAAGGCAGATGCTAACACAAAGTATCAAATTAACATAACATTAACTTCATATGCAAACTGATTGGAACGCAAAGTAAACTAATCCATTTACTTGAATAATTTAAGGTACTTAACTTTTAATGTATTCGCATTTTGAATGAGGGTGGCAAATGTGTGCCACACAATTTGTGGAACATTTATTCAACTTTGACTTTAATATTAAGTTAAGGAAATGTTATTTACTACTTTGTCTTTGGTTAAGATTGCTTTTATTAATTGCAAAGAATTAAGTCAACTCAACATTAACATAATGTGCAAACCTCTTTCGAGGTTGGAAAATATGCTTAAATAAATTTAATTGATGACAAATTTAATAATGCTTATTGTGTTTCCGAAAATTAAAGCTTGGGAAATTTCCCTTGCAAGCTGTATTTCTTGGCTTCAAAGAAAAACTAATTGGATGGTTGTACAATGTTTATTAAGCTTCTGACTGGAAAATATGTTTTCGCTAATTTAATTTGCCTTTTTATTAACTTTATTTATTAGCTCCCTTTGTTTTTGTTTGTTTCAGATTATTTTAATGAAAAGGAATCCAAAGTTATTTTTGTGTTTGTGCTTGGAATAGATGCTCTGAGAATTTTCCAATCGAATTGTTTTCGGTTAGCGAATAAATAAAAAAACCATCGACTAACCCTTTTCCCAGCTTTCACTCGATTACGGATTCGAATTCGGAATTCCTTTTCATAATTGAATGACCACAAACTGAAATGATTTATGCTTGTGCTATTTGCATTTATGGAGTTAAGTCCTACTCTTTGTAGTTGTCCCCAAAATAAAGTGAGAGTCATGGCAAAACTATTTTGCATGGAAATTGCCAATTTCTTGTGGACCGCTTCAGGATCCCGTCCTTTTCCTCGGGCGTTTCAATTAGTTTTATTAAAAATGCATACGAATCTGACAGAGACAGGCGATGCCGACAGCCCCTGGATAAAATAATTCCATTCGAATAAATTGCTCAAGTGTTGGTAGTTGTGCTGCTCTAATTGCTGTCTGTGCATTCAATCAAATTTATTATGCGCTCAGCCATCAATAGTCAATTAGATAATTATGGGATTGTAGGGGAAATCAATAGACCCCGCTGTAGGCGTATTTCCAATTTGATAGCCTTCCTGATTGTCAGTCTATCTGTCTATCTGACAGGCCTGTAAGCGATTTGCTGGTGGGCGGAGGTCGCGGAGGCGTGTCTATAATTGCCACTGCAATAATAACTAATTATAAGCATTGAGCATTTAATTATAGTTTTTGGGTGGCAGAAAAACTTCAACAGCAGCTAACACAACTTTTAGTGAATCGATTACGGCGTGTTCGATTGAGGTATTAGAATTTATATCTAATTAAATTCGCACTTTTTAAACATATTTACAAATATTTAACAGTTTGTCTAGTACCGATTTATAAACGAATTTTTTGTATTTGTGGATATTAATTAAAGCTTGGAAGTTTTAATTTGCTAACAAAAAGTAAAGTAGGTATATATTATATTTTAAGGGAATTAAATATTTTCTTTTGGACAACAAATTCAAATTTATATCCCTACTATTAATTTAAAGATCTTATCGTGTGACTCAACAATTGCTGATTTAAACTATATGTGGTAAAGTGGGACTATTATTCTCTAGCAACATTCGCTCCCAAACAAACCCAAACACAAACATATTTGCCCGCTCGTTGTTCAATTAAAACCCCACGAATTGTCGCTGTCCTTGTTCATCGTGGTGATTGTCCCATACTATGTCCGCCCGTCTCATTGAATGTCATTGAAAAATACTTAATTAAATTCATCAACGCTTGACATGACGCGCCCGGGAGCATCAGAAACAGTAGCAGCAGGACTTCCCGGGGAGGAGGCAAGTGGAGGGGCTTACTGGCAGCCAATTGGCAAAAGTGAGAAGTTCACTTTGCCGCCATTATGAGGGCCAATGGAGGGCCAAAGTGGGAGGGTAATGGGTGGGTGGGTGCCAATCTGTGTGGTGCTCCATGTGCGAAAGGGGAGTGCTTAATTACATTTACACATGGAGGCCGTGTTTACAAGAGTGGCCAGTGAATGGATGCAGCGGAGGGAGTTGATTGCCGGACGGTTATGGGGTTTGACAAGCTTGATTGCTTCCACGTTCGTACCTGCCTGCACTCCATGAGGATTCAGGCTGGAAGCCATTGGGACCCTCACGAATCGATTTCGCGGGGGATATATGGCCTCATTTCCCAGACAGTTTGGGGGTATATTCATTAAACTGGCAAGTTGGTGATCGAAAGCAATTAGGGAATAAGTAGCAACAGATCGTATACTTAATTTAATATAAAGAAAATAGAGATTTCTAAGAAAGACATTCGTTGCTAGAAAAAATTCATTATTTTAGCAAAGGTTCTTAAATTGCTAAGGTAAAATCCTTTGATTTCATTAGTGAAAAGCTCTAACAAGTTAACGGAATATTAAACACTGCGTATACGCAATCAAATTATTTTTGAAACCTATTTAATTGGTTTTAGAAATCCTATTCCAAAAGACTTATTTGTATTATGATTCTAATCGAAATAATATTTATTTGTTTATCAAAATGTATGGGTGAATTATCCCACAGTCGATATACCCGCATTTTTAATTACTACCACTTTGGCCATCAATCGGCTGATAAATTGGATATACAATGCCCTTTACAGGCCATTTCAGGTTGTTTCTCATTATGCTCCGCTTTACATAATTGCTTCGACACATTGTTGTAGTGCTTGGGTTTCGTAACTGAACTTTTCTCATTTCAACACACTCAAAAAAAGTGTAAAAACATGAAGTGATTATTTTTAATTTTTCTATTAAAAAATGAATAAGAAATATTGTTTTGGTATATCTTGTAGGTTTTCTTTGCTAGAAAATTTGATCTTTCTATAATGATTTTAGGCTAAGTGGAAAGGTCTTTAACGTTTTTAAATTTGAGGACACTGCCTCCAGTTATCGATCTCCTAAACACTACGTTTAAGATGGTGTTGTTGGTGCCTTGACTTTATTTTTCAAATCTTTCCTGTCAGTGCTATATTTTGGCTTTACTTACGTGTGCAAAATCGCGGCTCATCGCTGCCATCACCGCAATCGTTCAGATTGTTGCAGTACTTGCTCAGCGGAACGCATCTTCCATTGGAGCAGCTGAATTCGGCGAGGGAGCATCCCGTCGAGGAGGAGCCGGGTGCCAGTTGCAAATTGGCAGGTTTGCCGGGTCCCAAAGAGCTGGAGCTGGATGGGGAGCCAGCTGTTCCGGATCCGGAACCGGGTGCAGCTCCTCCTCCTCCTCCTCCGCCGGCAGCAGCTGCTGTGGCAGCCATTCCCAAACTGATTCCCAGGCAGAGGAGCAGCGTCAGGGTCGCCGGAAGTGGATGTCGCCGCTGCTGATGTTGCTGCAACTGCTGATGTTGCTGCTGTTTCGGTTGCTGCAATCTATGCTGCTGCTGCTGCTGCTGCTCCGATTGCGACTGACAATGGTCGCTGCAGCTGGAAGTCATTGTGGATGTTGCTGGTGTTCCTGTTGCTTTAATTGCACGACATTGTGTTGGATTTGTCGTCGTTTGCAGCACTTTCAGCATTTTAGCCACATTTCTGTGTCGTTCATTTGGCAGCCATTTTCTGCGCTGCCTCAGTTTGCACCTCGTTTCTCTCAGTCTGCTGGTTCCATTTGTTGTTTTATGTATTGCTGGGGCAGTGTTTGTTGCAATTATTCGTTGTTTCAGTTTCTTTGGCCTTTTTCTGCTTTTGTATTTCTGGCGCCATTTCAATGTCATTACTGTTGTGTCTGAAAATAATGGTGAAATTGTATATTTCGTTATTTTTTTGTATGGTAAAAGTAAGTAAGTATTTTTCAAGATGAATAAGAAGACTTTATAAGATTGTTGAGAAAAAAAATGTTTCTTTTTCTAATATAATTTATTTCTGATAAAATCACATATTTTTGCGATTTTGGTTCACCTTGTGACCTGAAAATGTTGTTTGCTAATTGATACTTATCATTTGCACCTTTCAATTTTTTGCATATTTCCGAAACTTTTTTAAAGAAAATAATAAATAGAATTTTCTTTATTTATTATTTAAAACACACCTTATTTGCACGTAAATTGAAAATTATGAGCACATTTTAATTTTGTTAAACAATTAAAAATATAATTGAATTCCGAGCATGGTGATTAACAATCTGACTTTTTCAGAGGTAATAGTTTTTCTCTTGGGGGAAATAATTTAAAATATTCAAATGCCTTGGGCAAACAAAATTCCACACGCCTCACTGCCCGATTACACGCCAAATTTATGGCCAAATATTTATCGATGCGAATATATAGGAACATTGGAATAAATTCCGCGATGCGGCGAAGCCTTCGACCAATGAAAATCATAAATATTTGCAGCGTAAACAATTTCTCTTCATGTTTTTGTTTTTTACCCCCAACTCATTTTTTTACTGTGATTTTCCGTTTTATTTTCTGGTTTTCCTGCGACTTACTCGCATATTTTTCACGCCGAGCTAAGGACGAATTTTTACGCGCGTTGCACATTATGGAAAGTTACGAGTATTTTTGCTCGGTTTTTTTTTTGTTTTTTCGTGTTGTTGCGCTCGCTGAGCGTGTAACGGTTTCATTTTGTCCTTGTTTTCCGACTTTTCCACGATCCACTCTACACAATGGATATATGCATGGTGGTCTGGCCCGCCAGTCGGTCGGAATTGATTAATGTGTTTTCAGTGCAAGTATGCCGAGGCATACGAAAAAAGGGGTTTTTCTGGAGGTCTGCGGGGCTGTCGATTGCAGCTTGCCAGTGATAACGATGAGTAGAAAAACAACAGCAGAGCGGAGACTCTCCTCCACCTCTGCAAATGATTTATGAATGTTGTTCGGGGCCTTGCAACGCATGACCCCAAAACACTGTCCACCAGCAACGCCGCAGAGTCGGCAAGTCAATGAGTGCCGCTGGGAAATTATAGTGTTCGGCCAGCGAGAGCGAAAATCGCGGAAAAGCAGGCGAAAAAAAACTAGTAGTTGCATAATTTTAAATTAGACACTCAGACATGGAGCAGACGACCTGCACGGAAGCTGGCAGGGAATGGTAATGGGTTGGGTAAACGGAGGTTTATGGGTGAGTGTGGAATGGGGACGAAGGGCAGGGGAAATGGCATTGGATTCGGGGACAGATTCAGAGATTCGGCGGCGTCAGCAGACTGCAGATGACGCCGGCAACCAGACGGAAACTGATGCCCATGTTTTTTTCCAGCCAGCTTGTTGCACAAGAGAACACGAAAATACCAGAGGTTCATTTCGAATCGAGGGAAGTGCAAACTTTTGGTAAACTCCCCGAAAAGTTAGTAGCAATAAACTTTTTTACACAAATTGGCTTTGAAAGCGAATTTATATCAAAATAAATTAGCTAGATGATGTGATTAAAGTGTAAACTTGATATTTATACGTATTAATATTTATTTTAGATGCAAAACTTCTAAATGTTGTAAAAAAAATTAATAGTTTTTCTGTTGATAGGCAAAAATTGTCTGGAAAAAATATTAAAAGCAAAAATTCCGATCAAAAAAATAGATTTGCTTAAATAAAGATTTTTTTTGGGTAAATAATAAAAAGAGTAACTTTCTAACTTAAATGTTAGATACGCAACATGTAACAAGAAGACTGAATTAAAGATGAAATTGAAATTAGCTTCATCTTCAACGACTTTATGATGTTTTTAAGAACTTGACTTTCTAACCAACATGCCTTTGGGGATTGTAGCGAAGCCGGCATGTTGTTTTTAACATTTTTATGGCTGAACCACTTCGCCACTCCCAATTTCGCCTTGCAGTTGGCCATTACAATGTCTGGCGTCAGTGAAATTCGCCACAAAATCGTGCAGTGGTAAAATTATCCCCAGGAGAGGGGTCGAAAACTGGACGCTGTCTAGTCGTGCATTAAATTGCTAATAAGTTTTAATGGGGCCAACTTTGTCTCAGCCAAATGCGCTGTCCTGAAGGAAAACATTTTCATTTAAATGGCTTTCTCTTAACTGAATGTCAAAGCATTTGTGCAATTATTCACGACCCGAGAGCGTAAACAGAAGCTGTTTTTCTTTTTATCACTGCAGTGGCTTATCAACTAGGAGACACACGCCCAGATATAGCTATCCCGATATCTGTTTACGAGGCAGAAGATGGATATGGAGCTGCTGCCGCTTTAATGGATCTCAAAGGGATGGCGTCGATATCAGCTTTCGTCAAGCACCAGGATGTGCGAATGCCCCCCGCCCTGTTTTCCCACAAACGTTGACTTTCGTAACCCCACATTTTGCGGGGCTGTACAGCCAGCCCCTCCACATATGCAAAATAGTTGCACATAAAAAGTGCCGAAGGACTTGAGAATTCTTGCTGTCAGTTGTCGTTTCTGTTGCTGCTGTGTTGGAATTGTCGGTAGTCATCATCGTCTTTATCATCGTTGCTTTTCCACTGGCTCACGCTCATCCGCAGTAACTTTCTGTGGCAAGCCGGAGTGTGACTTTAACTACGTTACACGATGAAGAATATCTTATAAATGTCAGAGCGCACTTCTTAAAGGTGAAATGTAAAAAAATAACATTAACTTTTAAAAATAATGGTCATTGGAACATAAGTTTCTGTTAAAAGTAATCATTAAATATACGAAATTTGTTTACAACAAATGTCACCAAGACTTTAGTCCCTTCACCTATAACATTACAAATATTATTTACTAATATCAAAATTAAATTTTATAGTTTATTTTTAATTTTGTGGTTTGTTTCTAAAAATGTATATACATTAAAGAAAGATACTAAGGATTATTTAGTAAGTATGGTTAAAATATTTCCAGGACAGTTTTTATTCAGTCAAACAATATTGACATAAACATATATTTAGTAACTTTTAAATATTAGTTATACAACTTAAAGGTTAAATTATTAGCTTCAAGTATTTTCCACCCACATCCTATTGAATTTAATGTTAAATGTAGTGAAATTACTAAATTTAACAATGTTCGGCTGGTAAACACCGTCAATATATAAGCCTATTAGAAACTGTATTTATTTTTCTTTAGTGTACGTCATTCACTCTCCTTCGCGCTCCGTTTCTTCTGATTCCCCCCTTGCAAAGTTTGCCCCAATGCAATTGCAATGGCGCAGCGGAAGGGGAAGTGCAGAGACACGCACATCGCCTGCATTTGTCTGCGTGTGACTTTAAATTTTGTTGCATATGCGAAGGCGTACTGGCCTCTGCGGCTCAATGCATTCAATGCCGGCCCAGACGCCTCATTAGCGCTGCGATTCGCTGCCAAAACGCCAAATGATAATTGCAGCAATTTGGCCCCGAAAAATGAGGCGAGACAAATTGTATCGCACAACTTGAAAAGTTGGTCGACGCAAATTGGTGCCAGCGGAGATTCGCTTTTTGGGTTTTCTTCGAAGTTGGCAATGGGGCTAAATTGTAACGAGCTAAGCACACACTCATATGTGTATTCCCAAGTTGCCCCTTTGCAAGAAGTCAAATTTATTTTCGGCACGTCAAACTCAAGCTCACGTCATCAAAGTTTTCGTTGGCAATGTGTGCGCTATTACGACCGGAAATGCCTCACAGGAGTGTGTGTGTGTGTGTGTATATATGCTGAAAGCGCGTCAAAGTTATTTAAACACCAAAGCGACTTTCTTCATCCCGAGTTCCTTCGAAAAAAAGGCTCTCACATGTAGATATTCTTTTGCCTTTCTTCTTCGCTTGGCAAAGGACTTTCACTAAGCTGCTTAGTGGCACGAAGGCTGCAGATCCTGAATCCTGGCTGAAAGCCTCTGTTTGCGGGCGTGCTTGTTTACTTAACATGGCTAATGAAACTCGAGAGAGTTTGAAGCCTTCATTTTTTTGCCAAAGTAGTTTGTTTTAAGAGGAACAAATCCTAATGAAAAAGGTACTAAAATATGGTTGTTTCTGTACGCTTCGCAAAGGAGATGCATTTATTTAAGCAAATACTGGCTTTTCAATTGCATAATAGAAAGCCATGATTACTTAGTATATTGTCTTCTTAAAAATAAAAGTGCCAGGAATTATTTTCATCTTTTCAAAGTAGCTGTTTCTCGTGGAATCAAAAAAATGGCTATTTACATGTTTACAAATCAAACTAATACTGACTACATTGGCATAATGTGCCCTTCATATTTTATAGCTTTTCCAATTATCCTTGAACTTCCTTTTTGTCATTTTTCCGCTTTATTTTTCTTTTACTTTGCACTCAGCTTAATAGGTTTAACTCCCTCCGTTTCCCCTTTATTTTTCACTTTTCTGGGAAGTCATAAAGCTGGCACATGAGCAAATTAAGTTCACTTTAATGGATATTTGAGTTGTCAGGATTTAATTACTCCGACAACACGCAACACTTGAAGCCTTCATGGTGATTTTCGGTCAGAATTGATGGCACTTTCCTTTCGGCTGTCACTCGGCAATAAAAATGCGAGCATTTAAAATCGTTTCAGTCAGTCTGGCCACCCGTTTTCGAATCGATTCGGTGGCATTCCATTGTTTAGCCTTTGATTGACATTCACTCGGCGCGGCGTTAAAGTGTGTTTTAATTTGATTTCATTGTTCGCTGTCATTTGCTGTCATTTGATGGCCGGAATGAATATGAATTGAATTGGCTGCGATGGGGGATTTCATGGGTGGCCTTCGGTCTCTTTGGGCTCCAATGACATTCGTTTCATTGCGTTTCAACAATTCGATTAGCACCGAAAATCAGGAAAGCTTGATGCCTCGATGTTGGGCCTTTCGCA